CGGGGCCAGGTTCTGGCTGGCTCCGGGGGCGCCTCGGGGCTGGGGTGGTAGGAGGCTGCTGGTTACGGTTAAAAACTGCAAGGTGAGGCCTGCCGCACCTCTTCCTTGTGTGCTTGTTTTTTTTCCTTAGGAGGAGTTTGAAGTAATGAGCCCGCTAGAGGGCACCAGCCACCGAGCGAAGCTTAGGTACTTTCATTATATGATATATTGATTGATTATATATTACAATATTATATGTTATATACTTTGGTTATGTAGTTTTGAGTTGAAAACTGGTTGGAGTATGAAAAACCTGATGATTTCTCCAAGTCTGTCTTCTGCGGGAAGGGGCCCCCAGCCACTGAGCGAAGCTTAGGTACTTTCATTATATGATATATTGATTGATTATATATTACAATATTATATGTTATATACTTTGGTTATGTAGTTTTGAGTTGAAAACTGGTTGGAGTATGAAAAACCTGATGATTTCTCCAAGTCTGTCTTCTGCGGGAACTTACAAAATGAGACTTATTTTTATTACTTCTCTTTTGTACAATGATATGTTTTCCTTGCGCTATTTACTGATATCTTTTACTATAACTAAAACAAAATAACTCTTCTTGGCAATAACTGAAAGCATGGACCTTTCAATATATTAGGTCAAATAAATCTTCGTTAATATGTGTTCTGAAAAAAAGACTTTTCTTCACCCTCCAGTGAAGCTCTTACTTTTTCCTCCATCTGTTTTTCAGACCTTTGTGCCACAGGGAATAGTTTGATGTCCAACTTTGTTTTCCTCTGAACTACTCATGCTAACAAGTGTAGTTACTTGTATTTTTGTAGTGCTCATGTTAAAAGATTTTTTTTTCCAGACTGCTGAGAACAGTGCCTGTAAGTGAAATGGAATAGGCTATGACTTAAGCTATTTTGTGGCAAAATATTCACAAACATCTATGTTTATATGAAAATGGCTTTTAATCTATAGAAGTAGAGTCTCTTTTATCTCCTTGACATTTCATCTCCTTGAGGGAGCAATGGGATGAAGATGTGGAATTCACTTCCTATTGGGACACATAGACGCATAGGAAGCTGAGATTCTCTGTTCTGAGTATATTCTGCAGCTTAACTTGAAATGAGATGTATATTCAGTTATTATTGTGATAAAGTGCTTTTGCAGAGGAGGAGGATTTATAACACCTCCTTTAATTCAGCTAATTAAAATCTTCTGGCAATTTAAGTTGAGACACTGTAATTTGAAGTACTCCAGAGTATTTTTTTCTGTAGCTTTATCAAAGTTTTGAGATCAGGTTTTTCTATCATTTTATGGAGTTACGCTGTACTCCAATATGTCGATCAGTCAGAATTGACTGAGAATACTATTTTTTTATGTGTGAGCTGTCATGGTTAAATATGCCCATTGCTATGTTCTCTTAATTATGTGAATGCCTGAATGAACAAATGACCTCGTCACCACCAGCTTTCTAGTGAGAATGTAAAAAATCTATACGCTGTTCTTAGTTATGTGATGGATAAACTGTAAGTGATTCTGAATGAAGCCTATAATTTAAACAAAATCCTATAATGCTTTTATTTAATTCCTTTGGAGCAAAATCTTTGCTGCAGATTTATATTTCCCCAGTCTAGTCATCTGTACCTAAGACAGTGTGATGATTCACTGATGAAACAACAGAAATTGTGGGAAAGAGAAGGCAAGAAATAGTACTGAAGGCACTAATGTAGAAATTACATATGATGTTAGCTTTTAAACCCCTGCCCCTGCAAAGTAAATAAAATGCAACTCTATTTGTGGCAAAGGAAGTTTGGAATAGTTTTGGGTTTGTTTGTGTGTGTCTCTTTTTTTTTTTTCTTTTTTTTTTTGGAAGGTGAAACAGAGGTGAACTTTGCTTTGGGCAATTTTTTGACTATCCCATGCTTTACAGAACAACACATGGATTATTTTGGAGCCCTCTCTTGAAGAAGTGGAGGAAGCTGTTGTAAATGAATGCAACGCTTGAGGTTTTTTACAAAAGCAACATCAAGTCCCACACATTATCCTGTGTTATTAAATTGTATCACAGTTGGACATTTTAAAGAGCATTTTTAGTAACAGTTGTACTGTAGAGCAGCTGAATAATATTTCTTTTACATTTGGTATAAGAATTCAGTAAATTTGATAATACATGTTTCTGGCCTCTACTCAGAGAAAAGTTAGTTTCCTAAAATTCTGGAGTTTCCCAAAACTGAAATTTAGTTGCAACATAGTTATTATAAAGGCATGATAATTCTGCGGGAAAGTAATACTGAATTTAGAAAAATCATTATTTATTGAATTATGTAATCCATTATTTGTCAGATCAGTATGGCCTCTTTGTTGAAACCATATTGTTAGAACTGTCCCATTGCTTCAAAGGGCAGGAATATAATTGCTATTGCAAGCCCTTATAAGATTTGCTGGACATCCTCTCCTTTCAACGTTGTTGGAACTGAAGATATTTATAGAATTGCATGCATGGAGTCGTTTCTTTTTTTAACCCCATGTTGTGACTTTGTCCTAAATTAAGCAAACAGATTTGCTCAGAACTGCATTCAAGGATGGTTCTGATAAAGATTTTCAAAACATGACTGGGGACTTACGGTTTATCTAAATAGTTGTTTAAACATCATGAGCGTTTGCCTTTTAATGCATATCTTCCAGCAGCTTTTTTTTTCCTTTAAAGGAATAATTAAGGCTAATAATAGTTGTTGACTGAATTGGGTTACAGTTACAAATAGAAATCACCATTTCCTGAAGGCTGCCTTTCAACTACAACAACAACAACAACAAAAACCCAACTAGCAGCAGTCCATGTTAACATTTCATAAAATGACAGCTTGCTGAACCATTTTGACTTACCTCTTTCAGGTGATGCTGTGAGCACATGAGTGGTGGGAGAGCACTCTTGGCTGCCTCTGTAATTTCCATCCAGAACTCCTGCTTCATCTATCCTGCTTGTCAAAGCTGCTTTTCTAGGCTGATACTGGATTCTAGGAGGTATGCTGTGTTTAGGGGATTGCCAACTGTTAATTGTGGGTGGCTTTGGGACTATCTGGGAGCTGAACAAGAGGCTAAAACAGAAATTGCTGAAAATCCATCAACAGTAGAAATAAGTGATAAATAGCCTAAATATCTGTAATTAGCACTATTTTTTTTTCCTTTTGTATTCCTGTAGCAGCTTGGAGATTGTTATGGATCAAGAATTCTGTTGTGTTAAGTGCCATACAATATTGGAGGACAGTTTGGGAGGATGTGAGGTGTGTTAGTGGAATCTCCTGCAGTCCAGTTCTTCAGTGCTTTCCCTGTGTTGGAAGGCATTAGTGTAACTGGACTAAGCTGATTTAGGACTTGATTGTGAGAGGTTGCTAACCTTTTTTGATTTCTCCTCATCTTGTTCGTGTAATGAATCAGGTTATCCCATATGCCTTTTCTACTAGCTGTGTATCCAGAAACATAGGCTTTCCTTGTTGCTGTCATTATTATGTCACATCTGTCACATGTGGAAGAACACCAGATCAATGAATATCGGCACTAAATAGAAGGAACTGGCTCTGCAAAGCAAGAATA